AACGTTGCAGCAGTAGCGCGGAGAAGTGGTGAAGCCTTTAGGAGAGGTTTTAACAGGCGGCTTCCCCTCCCGCTGCTCATAGTGGGACATGCTGCTCTTGCGGTCTGTGTCCCAAACAGTCCAAGTGTTGTGGGAGGGTGGCATGCACACAGTGACGAAGCTGCTGGACCAGTACCTGTTGAAGTGCGTCTCTGATACACACACTCGAGAGAGAGGCGAAAAAAAAGAAGCTATTTTGCATGCTCCTTACTGAAGCTCCTAAACTTGTCAGGATTATACTATAGCATAAACGTGTCAAAAAATAAACTGAAAGCAGGGATTTCTGTGCTGCTTTTGGCAAAGTGCCCACTTCATCTTGGAGGAAGGTAACACTGTGTGGTTGCAAAATAGCTTATTAAGGCCTTGCTGCAATTAAGCCAATGAAGTGGTTTTCAATTTAATACCAGGAGATGAATCTTTGCCACCGTTGTAGTAAAGTGAGTTAGAGTCTTCACTAGAAGCTTTTGGAAGTTGTTTCCTAATGGAGTTACACTTTTTTGTGTGCGTGTGTTTTACAGAAGCACTTTATGTCCTTAAGAGCTGTTTGACCTTATACTTGTGCAGAAGAAAATACAAGTAGTTGTTCTTTCCCCTGCGTTTTATCCTAAGCACCATTTATTTTTGTATATCTTTTAAAACATTCTGCTAGTGTTCTCTATATTTTAGTTGGTGGCACAGGAAGCTGTATTCCTGTTTTATTGGTAATCCGTAATGGAGTAGTTAGAATTCTTAATTTGCTCTCCATATTTATGTAGTGTACTGAAAACTACATTATTTACTGTTTGCTTTATTCTTTACTTCCGTGAAGTGCAGAGATGCATCACTTTCTACTTTACTTCTGTATCTCCTAAAACCAGAGTGCCCGAAATATGGCCCAGAAGATAGATCCCACTTTCCAAAACTGTTCATGTTCCATGTGACTTGCTCCCTGCTAACTTCTTCCCTGGGGATGGAGATTCTGACAGCCCGCCATTGGTTTTGATGAGTCTGCATTCCTTACTAACACAATATAGATTATTTAAAGAAAATGCAGGAATAGCTGGAAAGCAGTATCTGCTCCGTGTTGCGCCCTTGATCTGATGTGTGGTCAGTCAAAGAAGAGTAGCTGTGTTTGGCTTGAGATTGAACCTCCTTGTCTTGCAATTTCTTGCAAACCGCAAGAGAGGCAAGCTTGCTTAGAGCATTACAGGTTGGAGAAGAGACTTGTCCTCCTTCAACCTGCATCCCAATCCCCACTCCTTGTCCAAGGTACTTTAGTTTTCATCAGGCATGTAGTGAAGTTAGCATCAGATTACTGTAGTAGAGACTTAGATGTATTAGAATTATTTTGTGGCATACATTTATGTCATTAAATGTTTTTTGTTTCCTTTTTCAGTCCTTCTGGAAAACTTGTTCAGATTGAATACGCCTTGGCTGCGGTTGCTGCAGGAGCTCCATCAGTTGGAATTAAAGGTACATTCAGAACTGCTTTAGTGAATATCAGTTCAGAAAACTAAAACAGTTTGAACTACTTATTGGATATTTCTTCATCCATATTCTGTATTTTTTTCTTTCTTCAGAATATATTCACATATTTCAGTGGGTTTAATATTGTCTCTTTTTTCTACAACTCAGTAATTTTTAGGAAGGGAGCATAGATCTTTTCCTAGGGCCATTTGGGAGACATGCAAGTGGTTGAAATAATATCTTTGACTCTTCCTCTTTCTTAAGTAAAGGACTCCAGCATTGTGTCTATAGATATGCAAGTTGCTCTTAAGGATATTTCCATGGGTTAATTATTAATATATGCTTCAGAATATTTAAAATGCCATTATAAGAGCATTGTGTTAATTTAAAATGAGAGATGATGTGCTGGATGAGTTCATCAAAGGATTAACCTCATTGTAAACCTGAAGGGCCTTTCAGAAAAAGAAGGAACAAGATTCTTCATATTCTGACCTAGCTGTTCAGTTTTCAGTTGCTTTTGATAATTTATTTTAATATGGAAAACATCTTTTTCTTCCCAGCTGCAAATGGAGTGGTGTTGGCAACTGAGAAGAAGCAGAAATCCATCCTTTACGATGAAAGGAGTGTCCACAAAGTAGAACCAATTACCAAACATATAGGTTTAGTGTATAGTGGTATGGGTCCAGATTACAGGTATTTACAAGTTTTGCTCTCTTGTCATTTTAGACATGCTTCATTTAAGAAGTAAATAAGCTAATAAAATATGTCATTGGGTGTTTTTTTTTGAGTGTATGGCATAATAATGTTTTGGTGCATATACTATCAGTATATTAAATCCATGTTCTGGTTTAAGTTTTTATTTACATATTCAAAACCTTAACAAAAATATCTAAAAAAGGAATAGCAAATGAACAGGTATATGGTTAGTTTCATTTAAAGTGCTTTAGCTATTATTGAATTGATCAGGATACCCCAGTAAAGTGTGTATTTTCTTAAATCACTGTTAGGCCAGATATATAATTTCTTTCCATAGTATTTATTGTAATTGGTATTATTTGCAGTACTAATTGGTATTAGCTAATTGTGTTTTTTGTTTGTTCTCTTTTGTTCTTCAAATAATATTTTTCTCTTTGTTTTTAGGGTACTTGTGCACAGAGCTCGGAAGCTGGCCCAGCAATATTACCTGGTTTATCACGAGCCCATTCCAACAGCGCAGCTAGTACAGAGAATTGCTTCTGTGATGCAGGAATACACACAATCCGGGTATGCAGTTTTCAGAAGTTTGAAGGTGCTTAGAAAGATTATATTGCTTAAACACAAGGTACAACTACTAATCGGTGATTAAAATTTGTAGTTAAAAAGAGCAGTTAATGTTAAACTTCCTTAATGAAGAATGCCCGTGGAAAGTAGGATAGTGGGAGGACCACTGTCTGGCAGTGGGCAAAACGCACTCTTAATAGCTTGGAGGAAAAAAAAAAAAAAAAGAAAACCACACTGGAGAAGCCAGTATACTTTTGTTGTGGTGGTGTTGGTTGAGCAGTCATTCCTGATAGCAGCTCTGAGCTGCTGGGAGGCCTTTGAGGAAGATGAATACATCAAAATAATTCAGTCAGCTTTGGGGTTTGCCGTGCGCATTTCAGAACTGTTTGGATGTCGTTTCTGTCTGTTTTGCTTGCAGGGGTGTTCGACCATTCGGGGTGTCGCTGCTAATATGCGGTTGGAATGAAGGGCGGCCCTATTTATTTCAGTCAGATCCATCTGTAAGTATTCAGCACTTGAAAACTCTCCTGCTTTTGTAAGACACCTGAAATTTTATAAATGTCCACGGAAGACTGCAAGAGCAAGAACAAGAGATCCCTTGACCTTACTCAGGTTAGAATGATCCAGTTTCAGTGAGTTCTGGGAGCAAGCCTGGATATTTGGCTGCTGTGCCATGGAAGTGTAGGTGGTGGATTGCGCCTTCTAATACGGAGTCTGCATGTTTCCAAACTGCTTTTGAGGGGTGGCAATTTTTGCTGAGAGGGATCACCACCCTTTTTCATTCCTTTCCACCTTGGCAGTAACAGGAAGAATCTGGCACTAAGCTCAGGTGCCAGGAGAGGCATCCGACTGCTTGTGTTGCTCAAGTAGTGTTCCTTCACCTGGGTGGAAATCAGGGGCATAATCAGTTGCATCATGAAATGCAATGAACCTGCTTTACAATTTAGTGATCACAGTGGTTAATTTGAGCAAGTTTGCTATAGTAGTATTGCACATCTAATAAAATCAACTCTTGGATTCCTATATTAATTACAACACTTTTCATCAAATAAAGAATTAGTCACTGTAATGATTCTTGGCAAACTTCAGACATTTTTATTCCTGCCAGATGTTCGTATGTAAAAAGCAATAGGAAAAAGGTTTCTGAAAAGCAACCTGATTGATGCATAAAACTATTGATGGTGCTAACTTCATAATAAGACAGATGGCTAAATAGCCTTATCATTAGCTAAAATAATTAGATGATTTGTAACAGAAATGAAGAAAACACATGGTGTGTACTCCAGGCTTTATGAAAGAACCAAGCATATGCATTCTTGAAGGCAAAAATGTTTTCTAAGCAAACCCAAATTAGAAATATGCCAATGACTTACTAAATTAATCTTTCAAAGCTCTAGGATTGTGAAAACAGTGGAGACAAACAAATGTTTTGGGCATTTTCACAGTAGAGATTCACGTATTTAATCAGTTTGTGACTCAAAGAGTTGATAACGTTCTCAAGAAATTCAGTGTTTTCAGTATATTATTTGTACTTTTTACAAAGATAGTGTTTGAGCAAGTTACTCAGGACAATTCAATGTATCAATATATTGTTGCTTTTACAGGGAGCTTACTTTGCATGGAAAGCAACAGCAATGGGAAAAAATTACGTCAATGGAAAGACATTCCTTGAAAAAAGGTAACGTTTAATACGTGTCTGAAATAATGCTTCTTTTGTTCAGGATCCACGTACAGCAGCCAGGCAAAGAAATGTATACTTTTAAATTATCAGAACAAAGTTTTAAAATACTTTAAGGAAGCTGGAAGTATTCTGTGTTAACACGTGCATAGGAAATTTGTTTTGCTTAAGGGAAACTCCAGCTTTGGTAATTCATGGAGTTATCTCAGTGCAGTACACAGTGTATTCAGCATAGATATTTTCTTCTCATTGGTGTGAAAAGTGGCGAGATACTTCACATGGAATATTTACAAATGATATTTTTGACTATTAATGTACCAGTGTGTATCAATGGTATTTGTAGGAGAAAAAAAAAGGGGAGAATTTTAGCACTGCTTGTGTTCTGAAACTTAAAGATTCTTATAGTTTTGAAATATCTATGCTTGTTGGCTGAAACACGAGATCTTCTGTTTACAGATACAATGAAGATTTGGAACTTGAAGATGCCATTCACACAGCTATTTTAACACTAAAGGTTAGCAAAATTTAAGAAATATATTTCCTACTTTCATTAATTGATGACAGTAAGAGATCATTAGTACTGTTCACTGAACCCTCTTTTCTTTAATAGGAAAGCTTTGAAGGGCAAATGACAGAAGACAACATTGAAGTTGGCATCTGTAACGAAGCTGGTTTTAGAAGGCTCACTCCAACTGAGGTTAAGGACTACTTGGCTGCAATAGCCTAGTAAAATCAAGCAAAACTGTTATGAATTTACAGAGATATTTTTAATTTTGGCCACTGAAATGTTTTGGTTTGCAGTTTTGCATACTTATTTCTACTTGGTTTGTCTGACAGATTTTTTTAAATATCATGGGTGCAAACAGAAAAGTCCTAATATTGTAATACATTGAATCTTACTACATGTAATTCTTTCCCTTGATACATGGAGTCTTTGTACACAAAATACTGTACAAAATGTAAAGTTATAATGAAAGCTTATAAAGGCTAAAGAATAAAATTTGAAGGACACTGTTTCAGGGGAAGATGTCTGTGTGTCTTTTTAATCATAGCTTGTTTATCTACATAAAGTTGAGATTTCAGTATCCTTATTGTTAGGGAAACAGAATTTTGCTCATAGGAATCAGCCATAGTAAACTGATCTAAGATATTCTGTTAAAAGAATTTTTTACATTATGGACAAGATTTTTTTTTCTCTTGCAATTTTGTTTAAATATTATTTAAGTAACTTAGAAAAGTGAGGTTGCTCTGTAAAACATCAGGTACTCTCACAAAGAGGCAGAACAGAGCCATCCATATGGGACGTAAGCTGATTTACTTCAACTCTGCTCCTGAAGGAGCTGGGGTCTTAGACTTCGTATCTGCAAAGTATATGTGTTTTCTATTGCTTGGGTGATTTTTTTATTGCCCTGGGAATGTTTTTGTTTGTGTGCATTTCCCCAGAAAAAAAAATGGAAGCAACAGAAATTGCTCCTGGCTCAAAACGAAATGCTTTTATCCACATTGGTAAAAGTGAACAGGCTGTACAAAGCAAAATGAGCCTGTTTAATGCAATAATTTTATCCATTGAATTATGGTAAATTAGTTTCCATACTTGAAAGGTGAAGTTAATGTAAAGAGCACTTGATATACGCATCACAATTTCTGCAAGTGCAGATCTGAATCCTTCAATATAGTTGTGTATGTAAAAGTATATTTTTTGTGTTTAATGGCTTTAAGCTTATGTAGAAAGATAAAACATTACAAAAGTAACTGAAGAACCAGGAGATGTATACTTTTCATTTTTCAGAAGTCTGGTCTGAAGCTATATACGTTATTATTTGCAGATTTTGGATAGATTTTTGATGCAAGCTGTTTAGATGTTGGTAATGAAAAAGAAACTGGGATCAAGAGTCAGATCACTTCTATGTAAGGATGAGCAGCTATGGTAGTAGCCTGGCACACTGAGTCATAGCCATCTGTAAACAAAAAATACATCATATGAGTTAGCAGAAAATTACATATAAACTTCTATCGATCCCTTCTTTTGTAAGTCTGTCTGTCTGGTGTTGTTTTATGTTATCTTGAGGCAAGTAAGAATTTCTGAAGCATGACATTAAGTTTTATTTCATAATGCCAGAAATAAAAGCTATATCCAGATGATTCCTTAAGCCTCACTCCACATCATACCACTCCAGATACTTTTCAGTATTCTACTCTGAGGAACAATTCTGTTCTGATTCCTCTTGGAGCATGAATGAATGACTATGAATTGACATGGGCAGATGCAGATTGTTGCAGCTTTCATTTAGACTGTCGGCAGCATTCACAAAAGCAGAATGCAGCTTCAATACTCCTACATCTGGACTTTCGTCATCTATAAATATTAATAATTGTAGTGAACAAAATGCAGATAGCTTTTCTAGAAAACACCAAGAACTGTAATAGCTTAGCTGCCTCCTGCAGTAAAAATAGTCGATCTGTTAAGCATGCATCTTTTGCTATTCCAGGTCCCTCAGATTTAAGAAAATATAATTTCAGATGGGGGGAATTGTTTCTCAGAGAACACGAACATTTCAGATGTGGCAGAGGGGTGCCCAGGGCCGGGCTGGGCCGCGGCGGCCGCTGT